ATGCATCATAGGAGGAAGGGATTGAGGCTGAGAGTGTTCATTCAAGGTTGGCTATGGAAGATACTTACCTGAGTTGAATGTGACCTGCAGAGGTGGCGCTGATGAGTGGTGACCACATTGATGACTTGGAGACTATCTGCAGGGGTAGCACTGATTCACTGGAAGGCATATTGATGAGTTGGCAAGATATTGGTGTTGCGCTGATGAGCGCTGGACTCAGGGGAACTTTGAAACACTTTGTATTCATATTTCTGATAATATAAACTGTGAAACTCGGTCCTCATCTTCTCTATCTTTGTCTATTGTCAGACTACTGTTCATTGTGTGTGGGAGTACGATGCATGGCATGTACACACTTGCGTGGGATGGTCCCCAGGACCCATGCACTCATGTTTTGAGTAAAGCTTAAAATGGCGTTCAAGATGGTAGTCTGTTCGAATGCTTTCGTGCCTCTCTATTGCCGGACATGCGTGTCCTGAAATATTTGAGCGTACACTGTCAATCGCCATCATCTTCTCACACCAGCGTGCCAATCCCGTATTGGCTCGCATATGTAGTAACTACAAATGTGAGTTCGGGATCTGCAATGAGAAGCACTATCTGCGACACGATTATAATAGACCTTCTTATTATGCTTCAATTCAAAACCATGGATGTCAATCCCATGCAACCAGTGAGATGAAGTCATAGATTGGTTGGTCTGAGACTTAATCCATTGCAAGGTCTCATGTTTTGAATAGAGCTTAAAATGGAGTCCACGTTGGTAATCTTTCGAATGCTTCCGAGCCTCTCTATTGTTAGACATGCGTGTCCTGAAATGTTTGAGAGTACACTGTCAGTCACCATCATTTTCTCACAGCAGCGTGCCAATCCCGTATTGGCTCGCATCAGTAGTAAATACAAATGTGAGTTTGGGATCTGCAAATGTGGAGCACTAATTCGATTCACCAAAGTCTTCTTTAATGACTCAAAAAGGCGGATTCACATGTAAGTGAAAGATACATTCTTGCTTGTCAGTCGGGACAAGGGGCGACCAATAGCTGAGAACTTAGCGACAAACTTCCAATAGTAAGAAGCTAAACAAAAACGATCACAAATCACACACACTTTGAGGTCTACGGCAATTGCGAATGACCTCAGCCTTGGTTGCCACAGGCTCAAGGCCTGCTGCAAACAACCGGCGCCTAAGGTAAATAACATTGTCCTTCCCAAACTTTTATTTCTCTAGGCCTAGGTGTAACTGTCCCTTTTTCAAAACCTCTACGACTTCTTTCAGATGTTGTTCGTGTTCTTGTATGTCTTTGCTGGAAATCATAATATCATCCAAATAAACAACAGAAAACCTATTAATCTGATTACGAAAGACTCGGTCCATGAAACTTTTAAAGGTGGTCGGTGCATTTGTGAGACAGAAGGGCATAACGATGATTTCGTATAGCCCATCATGTGTTTTGAACGCAGTTTTGTGCTGGTCCTCGCAGCAACTTGATGACCTGTTCCATCGACTAGACGGCCTGTTCTAAGATCGATCTCAAATCAGGATCTGATGATAACCAGATTTGAGATTGATCTTGGAAGAGGTCATCAATCTGGGGCAATGGATAGGCATTCTTTCATGTGATCAAGTTCAAGCCAATATAATCAATGCACATGTGAAGTTTACCTCCCTTTTTGAGAAAAACGAGGACAGGTGAACCAAACTCAGACTCGCGAAATCTAATCCCTCCTCTATCAACCGTATCATCGATCTGCTCGCATAGTTCTTCCATCTCAGCCGGTCTCATACTACCTTAGGTGGAACATTTCCCTCAGTTAGCTCAATCTTGTGCTTAATTGGACCCTTCGGAACCCCATGCGTTTCAACCAGGCCATCAAGAAATTGAGCCTACAAATTGTGCATGTTCACTAGAATTTCAGAGAAGGGAGTAGGAGAACCAAATGAAGATGGAGAAGAATCAGATTGTGAAGTTCCATCAGTAGTAGCGGTAGTAGTATTCAGAGTAACATTCACAAAAGAACCAATAGCAGATGGGACATGAGCAAGTTTTACAAAGTCTATGTACATATGCCTAGTCTCATCGCGTTTGTGCCACTTTCTACAAATTGCATCGCATTCAAAAAGGTTATGGGGAACTCGAGTGTTTTATCCAACAGGACAGGACGCTCGCATCCCTCAACATCAAGGACAACTAATTGTGGTTCATTCCAAGGTTTTTGTAAATATCGCACCCAATAATAACCGCTCCAATACGCCACTCTTCCATGGTGTAGAAGTTAAATGTATGAGTGATTGGGCGATCAGCATCAAAGGCAGTGTGCACACCTTTGACCGCATGCATGGATGTGGCAACCTCTTGGTTGCCAAACTCGGTCCGATAGGGTTTCTACTATGGCTACACCGGACCCGGACTCGAAAAGCTCATGTCCGGCGATGTCCAGTCATGTCCGGACATCCGAACTTCCCGACAAGTCTGGATCTCTGGATATGCATGGTTCCAGACGGTCCGAACCGGTAAGCAGGTTCGGAAATGTCCGGACCATTAAAAAAAAAAAACATAAAAATCTGAGAAAAAAAAATGTTATGCAGAATAACAATGCAAACCACTTTTGCCTCAGAGTTATGTCAGAGTTCCTAACCAAACATCCAGCGGCCTAGCTCAGTTGGTAAGGCACACAAGTGCCATTCAGGAGGTCTTGGGTTCAATCCCCATTGGCCTCATGTACCTTCCTGGGCAAGTTTGGTGCCCGCCACCTAGAGATATGTCGTCGGTCCCCCCGAGTGGTATTGACTGCCGATGTTCATAGGGGGAGGGGAACGGAGGGGAGGCACAGTGACTGGCCCATCGAAGAAGCTCGGTTCTGATGCTACCGGCTGACCCCTGGCCGGTATTGCCCACCTCCTGTAGCAGGTATCGCACCTGTTGGTAGGTGCAACTCCCGCATGTTCCCTCGTTGGAGACTTGAGCACAGATGTGGCTGCTACGGGGTTCCCCACAATACTACAATGACAAAAAAAAAGTCTTGGAAGGCCGTCCTGTTCACATTCGACAGGAAATTGAATTGTGGGTTAAAAAAAAAAAAAAAAATCCTAACCAAACTCGAGTTAAACCAGCAGTACTTCCTAAAGTTGTCCCCATTAACAAGCCACAATTTTAGGAAACGTACGGGTCACTACAAGAGCGGCCAAATTCATCCGACTAGAAACGTTCCTACTCTATTTTCTCCACCGCCAATAGCTGGGCCAAGTACTGGTGGTTTAAAAGGCAAAAGCTATTAAAAAAACTTAAAAAAAGACTTTAAGAAGTAATGAACTATTAATAATTCATTTTTTGGGTATTAGTAATAAATTATTATAGAGATAGACCCTATCCGGACCCTTCAAAACAACAAAAATGGGCCTGAAAACCCCCCAAAACAATTATGGGGGCTTGGCTCCTCAGTGGGGAAGGGTCCTGGACCCTTTTCTATTTCTATTTTTTGTACTTTGGAAGATCTGGACCTGGCCACACATGCCCTTCTGAATCCAGTACTTTTGGTATACGGATCCGCACTTCCACGAGCCTAAATCCTCCTTCGTGCTCCTGCACGGATTCGAATCGGCGACCTCGGCCTCAAGAGCCAAGTCTCTTAACCACTACAGCCAGGACACAGTGTACAAAAGTGCAACCATGCCGATCGTGATATGCACCCCACCACTGCAAGGCTGTAGTGTCCGAACACAACTCAACACCACACTCAACTCCTCCGAACGCATCGACAATTCTCGCCCACTCAGCTCCAACTGAGCACGTATCCTGCCTAAATTATCTGGACGGTGGTCCGGACATCTGGATCGTAGCCATGGTTTCTATTGTTCCGTTGCCTTCATCCCAAGGCCCGCCTTAAGAATACCGCGTGGAGAGAAGAAACATATATCCATAATTAATCAATGCACGGAATGGTTAATGACGAGCTTGAAGTAGATCAATTCCGCTCGCCCTTGGGCCCAATCTTACCTAAGCTTGGCCCATCGCTCCATTTGGTAGTGGAAGTCTGCTTCAGTGGACTCCTCCCAAGGCTCTTCATACAAGACCCTACGCAGCACAGCCTTGAAGACCAGGCTTCAAGGCTGCAGATCAGATTCAGATCGCTCAAAAGAACCTTCACCTAATGGCTCAACCCCCCTTGCAGCAGAGAGTGCTGATAACCTCTCTAAGCCCCTTGTTTGTTTCCCTTCAAGCGGACACAATCCTTGACAAAGCGACCTTTCAAAAGAACCTTCACCTGATGGCTCAACCCCCCTTGCAGCAGAGAGTGCTGATAACCTCTCTAAGCCCCTTGTTTGTTTCCCTTCAAGCGGACACAATCCTTGAGAAAGCAACCTTTCTCATAACAGTGCAAACAAAAACTACTTTTTATTATGTCCTGCCATAGCTGTTTGTTGACCTTCATCATCCCTTTGGGCAGGGATTGTAGCTCCTTGTGAAAGATGGAATTGAGACTTATTCATTAAATGCGCACCGATCCCTGGTTAGTTTGGCAGCTTTCTTAAACCACCAGTACTCCCTAGAGTCGTGCCCGTTAACGCACCACGATTTTAGGAAACTTATGGGCTACTACAGGAGCGCCCAAATTCATCCGACTAGAAACGTTTCTACTCCTTTTTTTTCCTGCGGCCGATAGCTGGGCCAAGTACTGGTGGTTTAAAGGCATCAAGTTTTTCCTCTTCAATTATTTCTACTGTCTACAAGACCCAGGGTCGATGCAGAACAACCCATATCGGATCCTATCTCTAGATCGTCATCGAGAGTAGTGTCATCTGCATAAGACTGCCCATCAGACTCCACCTGACTGTGCACAGCAAGGTGTGGCTACCTCACCACCTCTGAGGAAAGTTCCTCTTACCAGCCCATGCACAAGCAAGGTCAATGGCTTTGTGTTGGACCACCTCTTACATGACCGATTGGCAGTCTGTTAAATCCTAGGTTCCAAGTTGATGGTTAAGGGTCTCAGGGATAGCAATGCTAACTTCCAAACAACAAACAACAATCAAATCAGGACAAGGAGTCGTAAAAAGTCATGCAGCCGCCTGTTCTAAGGATTCCATAGACGGACCTTTTTTTTCTTTTTTTTTAACATAGACGGACCTTTTGTTTGGCTTTCATGACAAAATGTGGATCTTCATACTGCTTCATCAGTTGTGGACATGAGTGCGGCTTCCAGCCAACTTGCATAGTTATGTCTTCCACATACAGCCTCTACAACCTTAACCTCTAGGAAGATTCCCACATGGGACATGTAGTTGTCATGTACCCAAGACCAATGCTAGACACTACGTCACCACAAAGCAGGCTCGCATCTTAGCGATCCAGGAAATCACATCGAATTTCCCATCGTACCGAGGTGGAATCTGTGCCACCCTCTTGTCAACTTGTGGAGGGCTGTTGGAGGGACCACCAATTGCTGATTCAGCAATTGGACTTGCAACACTTGCAGAGGTTCCAGCACTGGCAGTTGCTGCAGCAACTCCACAGTCTGCACCTGCTGCAGTCCCAACCTGACCGCCTGTCAAGTTCGTAGAGGCAGAGGGGTACTGAGAGGGGCATTTTGAATAGAAATGAGGGCCGCGTTAATGGCGGCAGGCAGAGGCAGAGGATTCACAACTTGCGCTCGAGGATTATCAGCAATCCTCTGCTGCATATCACAGATGTCCTTAGTTAACTTCCAATTGATCGTGCGCAGTTCTGCAACTGCTCAAAGACCTTGGCAAAGTTGTCAATCGATTAATGATGAGGCTCCCCGGAGGAGATCGGGGTTCGAGGCGGCCTTCCTCTCTAATGGACCCTCCCCTTGATAGGCGTCTCAAGCCCCAAGGGTAAGGTCTCTCCTCTTCTAAACATTGCATGTTTTCATGATTGCCAGTGACAAGTAACCGGACTGTTGCCCCCCAGAAAAGAAGGGGCGTGTTGTTAAAAAAGAAAATCTATAAAAGCTTTTATAAAAGCTGCAACTTTGCTCAAGATCTCCTCAAAGTTCTCCTCATCCTCTACAGTTGAGATGGTCTGCAAATAGGCTCATCGGTTTCAAGCACCTGCTTCCTGCAAGCTTCTCCACTCTCCTGCTTCCTGCAAGCTTCTCCACTCTCCTCCTCCTCCCTCAATTTTAACGATAGTAGCCTCTCACGCAACTATTTGCGCTCCTCCTTTGCGTGATCCCTCAGAATCTTCAGTTGTTCTGAAGTCATAGCCATGTTGGTCCCACTGTTAGGATGGATGCTGTTAAACTTCTTGGGATTGTCACAGAGGTGTAGACCGGTTAAAGATTCAGCAAGTCTCTCAAGATGAGCACACTGACTCTCAAGGCGAGCACACTCTTTTTCCTTTCCCTCGATAGGACAAACACTCGTATTTCCGATTTCTATCAGGAAAGGTACTCCGATCCTCTTTTCTCTCAAGAAAGGTACTCCCTTTTTCTCTCCTCTCTCCTGCTATCTTCTGAGACCAAGTTGTTATAGGCATTTGGTCAATCAAATGAAGGAGTGCATAGTACAGCACAAGAGAAAGGAAGATAGAACTCCTAGCTGGAGCAGCATTTCATTTGCACTGGAGCTCCATCAACAACAATCACCAATATTGGACGTCTAATCTAAGAAGAGTTCGGTCAGATAGAGCATGAGATCCAATCTTACCTAACCCAACCAAGATCAAAGATAGTCAGATCAGAATCAGGAAGTAGAAACATATGAAGCAATGGGGATTCGAGGGAGTGGAAAGATGAATGCCATTGAATGGCTCATCCCAGAATGTCCCTCCTTCCAATCCCATCAAGATGTGATGCCTAAGCGGCGCTAGAACTGGTGGCCTGCAAACCTCTTCTCACTCGGGCAGGGTCCCACCGAGTAAGCATGGCCCTGGGTAGGCCAACAACCCTACCCACTCCCATAAAGGAGCCTTTACTCCAGGAGAAAAAGACATCGACAGTGCATCCCAAGTCTAGTCCAAAAATAATTTACGAAAAGACAAAGCATCAAATAATCTCTAGTCAGCAACAGCCAAAGCTTGAATGAAAAATGAAAGCACCATTGCAAGAATAAGCATTGTGAATCAAGATACTCCGCACTACTCCAAACTGCGAGAGAGCAGTCCACAAATGCATTCACATCAGCCTGGATCACAGAGAGTAGGAAAAGAATCCCAACACACACACAAAGCAATGCAGCGCCATGCACTCAACCATAGGCAACCCTAGTTCGACGACATGTACCTCTGCTGGATGGACTCTCGAGATGAAGAACAACTCACCTCAACCTCTCACATGTCCTCCTGACCCAAACTACAACCTCTACTCTAGTGTACATATCTCTAGAAGCGGTCTACTCCGCAGCGTCCCACGTTGATGTCAAACACCTATCATCAACTCATAGACAAACAGCTCAGCTATATCCACTCCATCTCCAAGTTCGCCTTCATGAAGGGAAGCCAAGTAGTCGCTCAATGTCCTCCTGATGCTCATAAGCTAGGTGTGAGTCACCACTCACTCTCTCCTCCGTCAAATCACCTCAAACTGACACTCGCTGCGTCTCGCCACCCCATACAGTCACATTCCAAACCTGGGTAGGGGTCAATGTCGACCCTACATGCCTTAATCTAGGTGGGGGAAGATCCCTCTCATCTCGCCACCCCAGTCCTGCAGTAATCCTACCGTAATCCAAGTTTAATTGCCCTTATCAACTCAGATTAGGGTTAAGGCGACAAGGCAAGCTCTTGCCAACAAGTCATGCTCTAATACCAATTCTAATGATCGTGGGTATCTCACGGTGCAAAACTCAAAGAATGACGATATCATTCAATTGGAACTGACATGAAAGAGATTCGAAAGAGCAATAGACAAAGGAGGAAGAAGAAATGATGATGGAAGAAGAAGAACACCAGCAAGAACCGATCTCATTATCCCCTCATCTTGCCACCATCTTCCCCCTCCAACATCTCTCCCAACTTCTTATTACTGACAATAATAATTAATGAACAAGAATCAATGTCTGAATCCTCCCCTTACTGCCAGCCACTCAAGAAGTCGACCATAGCTATCCTACACCTCCTACTTCTTGGGCAAGCCAATGGCTATGGCGGACCATCGGAGCCTAGCTCCAATTTTCAAAGGACGACGCAAGGCTACTATGTCTCTCCACCATGGCCACCATGCCACATTCCACCAATGGAGTCTTCCTGGTGCAGCGCCAAACAAGATGATGAATATGCAGACCACGGTAAGCTCCCTTCTTCACTCTTTCCCGTCTCCGTCTCCCTCCTCCTTGCTCCTTCCTCCTCCATCCTCCTTCCTCCTCCCTCCTCGTCCTTTCCTCCTTCCTCCTCCCTTCTTCCTCCTCCCTCCTCCTTCCTCCTCCCTTCTTCCTCTTCCTTAGGCCTCTGTAATATCTAAGCCTTCTCCCATCTCTGCCTTGGCCACCTCCACCATAGCCGAGGTGGGGGCCCAGCTTCACCTCCTTCCTCCAGCCAGCACTGCTTCAGCCAGGCGGTTGCTCCAGCAGCGTGCCTCCAAGGCGCACGCCCACGAATGAGGCTGAACACTGCGCCACTTTCCTGGATATATATACCAGGCCAGTGCCTCTTTGCACAGTGTCTTCCAGGCCGCGTGGCGGCACGTGGCCTCCAAGACTGCCGGTACCCACCACTTTTGGCAGGAACATGGTTGCAGTCTGATATCCCTCTTCCCGCAGGCTCTAGGCTCAGGTATGCCCAACTGGTACCTACCCCTTAGCCTACCGGACTTCCAAAATCTATCCGGCCTCCCCAAACGTACTAAGGTATTGTCCTTCCTGCTACTCTACCCGCTGCTTCATGATTCTGGCCTCCGCAGGCCCCTCTACCCCCTCATACCTGCTGCATCCCGCACATACACAGCCACAGGTTAACACCAGTCCAGCACGCCATTCCAGCACATGGACTGTGCCCGGCGGGTCCGACACACCCATCCTAGCACTTGGACAAGCAGCACGTACACGAGATACCAGCAAGCACTCAGACTACACACATACACTCCCAGCAGAGAGTAAACCTCAGCAGAACACGGGCATCTCAGCAAATCCCTCCATCACACAGCAGTACTCAGAAAACAGGAGCTTTCTCAGTCTGCAATTTTGCAGGTCATTACATCTCGTTTTTTCCTTTCACTATGAAGCTGCTCAATTGGCTCCTCAGATGTCTCTGACACACTGACACCAGAGAACACATATTGCAATCCAATACCACAGCTTGTAGGATATCCGGCAGCACTATCTGCTTTAGAAGGAAAGGATATATCCAGACATATCTGGTCAAGAAGGTTTTATTTGGCGCTCTTTGCTCGAAAACAATGTTAAATGCTGCGTACTGGGATGCCCGAGTCACTCTTCCTGGATAAGCAGCCAATATAAGGGTCAGGCAATTGCTACATTCATTGTATGAGATCACAAATCTGGAAGTGTTCCAGCTCGGTTCCTACGTGCCAAGCATGAACATAGCACCAGTAGGGCCTGCCCCCGAGTTGTGGAGTCGGCGATGTAACTGTGAAGACTGCCAAGACTAGCAGCCCACATACAGCATGGGCATAACCGCTAAGACACGACTCGCATCTCCATACACTACGTCGGACTAGCCAAACAGACAGTATATAGGGATCGCGGCTTCCTTGAGTATTACCCAGAGGCTGCACACGCAACCCACCACGAGACAGAGTCTGTTTGTTTGTGTGTATGTGTGTGTTGTCATGTTAGTTACACGCAAGGTGTGTTTTGAATTTTCACCATCACAAGCCCCTATTCCACCCAGATGAGTAGACCCAAAAACGAAACAGCTCTAGTCCTATTCCAGACAAAGAAAACACTCGAGACAAACCAACAATGAAACAGTTACCTTTACCAACACGAAGCAAAATAGAAAAGTTAACATCCCTTTCTTAACCGTGTCCACTTTGGCTTATTTGAGTACCCATTTCATTTGTCCGCGTAACTCCCTTTGACTGTGCCTCTCATGTACAAGGCTCGCCACGTTGATTGTGGTTGAGCGTGAGCTGCCCACATCCCCGTGTGCCATAACGTCCCACTTGCACCCTACGAAAGGAGGCAGAGAAAAGGCGGAGGTATATTCCTGTTCATTTTTCTTCAGATCTTCAGCTTATGTTTGTCTGTTCTCTTAATGATCTTCATCCGTATGCATTTACTAGTAGTACAGAAGAGGAGGGAGGAAGGAAATAAGATGTGGAGTTCTACAGGATTTTAAATACTCATCACTGGAGCAGACTACTCTAGAATGGAGCACTTGAGGCCAGTCGGTGCTTGGGTTGCATAAAATTTTGAGGTAAGCAGCCGTTGCCTACGGTAAGCGGCCACCTCTACAGACCTGACAGGACCGGTTCGAGTGTGGACTGTGGAAGCACCGCATCCAATTCTCGCAGTCGCAGTTGCTGCATCGAATGGCATGGAGTAGACAGATATCACAGGCCACGTGGCTCCCACAGGCTAGGAACACGGAGGCATGCCGACTGCAATTGTAGGGCCATTGCGATTCCAGCCCGTCTACAAATTGGACACGACATGTCAGTGTCTCCAACATGAGTGCAGTATTGCCTGTCACCGTACATATGAAAACAAAAACTCGCATGAGCTATCCCTTCGATGTGTGTGTCTGTGTGTGGGTGTTGAAGATTTCTCCCACAACATCCCCTGTTCCTCTATTGCGGACAATGAAGCACACTTGAGATAAGCCGATGAATGTGTGTGTGTGTGTGTGTGTGTGTGTGTGTGTGTGTGTGTGTGTGTGTGAGTGTGTCGAGTGTGTGTTGTGTTGTGTGTGTGTTGTTGATTTTCACCACCGCAGCCCTTGTTCCACCAAGTTGAGTAGATCCAATATTGGCGCAGCTCCACTTGTGTTGGAGACAAAGCAGCACACATGAGATGAGCCATTCCAAAAATGAAACAATTTTACCTCTATACCAAAGCAACATAGAACAGAATAGATCCACTATATTCCTTTTTCCAAAAATGAAACAATTTTACCTCTATACCAAAGCAACATAGAACAGAATAGATCCACTATATTCCTTTTTTACTTTCTTTGGATTTCTTCAGGGTACCCCTTCTAGTTGTTATTGCAGCTCCCTTTAGTGTGCCTCTCATGCACAAGGCTGGCCACTTTGATTGTGGTTAAGCGCCAGCTGCCCACATCCCCGAGTGCCTTAAACCACCAGTGCATCCGAAAAAGAAGATTGAGCCTCTCCTAAAAAATAGGAGGTCATGAACCGCCGATTCATTTTATCGATGGTCCATGTCCTTCAAATTTTTAGGAGAGGCTCGATCTGCTTTTCCGGATGTACTGGTGTTTAACGGCCCACTTACACGTTCTGAAAGGAGGCAATATGTGTGTGTATGTGTGTGTGTGTTTGAATGTGTTTGAATGTGTTTGAATGTGTTTGAATGTGTTTGAATGTGTGCTTTGAGGCATATGGAAGTACAATGCATCATACCCGATGAGCTCCGACACACCATGTCGGCTCCCATCAGCAAGAAAGTCGCGGAAGTGACATAGCCAAGCGGCAGGGTGAACGCCGTTGTCCATGACCGCCACTATAGTGTGAGCAGAAAAAAAGCCAAGTGCCGAAACCAATCCGATGCATAGTGACAATACAAAAGGAAGGAAGGACGTGATATTATTTGAGCGAAGGATCGCCCCATCCTCCACCTGATCAACGGAGCCAGGCGTGGAGAGGCCGAGCATTAACAGCGGGGTTGATCAATCGGAAGCGAGGGATATCCTACCAGCGAAATCAGACATTCCCAAGGCGAAAACGTGAATCCCCAAACAAGATATGCACAATTTCCTCACATGCAGAGAAGAATATGCCGGTTTCTATGCACGACTTCATGCTTTTGGGGGGCGGGGGGGGAAGGACCCATCTCGTAAGCAAAGCTTTTAAAGTTTAAACCCATGCAGGCAAACACATTGCAGAATAAATGTCTGTATGATTGACATGCATGTATGCAGTAAAGAACTGTGACATACTAACCAACGGAACATTCCAATCATTGCGAAGACCAATGAAGGATGCATAATCATTGCATTCAGAATTTCCACATAGAGCAAAAGAGATGTAATAACAGTGAAGATTTATGTAAGAACCGAGGGAACAGCAATTTCCCGAGAGAGAGATGGACGAGGCACACATGATAATCCGGTGATGATCTTTTTTAGCAAAATGAAAGGGGGCTTTGATGATTGCATGCGGGGTCCTCAGAGAGAGAGACAGAAAAAGGCCGTGCACACCCATCACTCTTTGCATGTGCATTCTAATTTCTAAGTAAAATCCACAGATGCATCCACACACACAAAACCAAATGGACAAGCCATGAGTACTCTGAAAATGGCCAGAAAACCAACCAAGAATCTTTTAATATAATACCGAGGCTAAAAAGCTCTCACCTGAAAGGAAAGACAGAAAAGGGAAGAGAAGAAAGGAGTCTCGTATCAGGACATAGCTTCCAGATTTCACATGTGTGTCTGTGCTGTACAAATCATCAGGCCAATCCATGGGAAGGGAGTGGCAATCCCTGAAGCACTTTTCTGCCCCTGCCATATGGGGTGCTATCAGAGGGAAGTAGATCTTCCATGGTCTTTCGAAGGCGAGGAGAGAGGGGAGGAGTGTCGAGAAGGGGAGCGAAGGGTGAAGTCAGGGAGGGGGGTGACAGGCAACAGCAGAGAGTGAATGAAGTGGAGGAAGGCACGTGAAGCAGTGCCCGAAGCTGATCCGGACTTCATCGCTCACCTGTCCTCGTCATGCCGTGTGCCCACACTCGGCCTAAATGACTGTACTAATGCGGAGAATTGCACAGAAAACAGCGTGTGATGAGCACAAGAAAAGCAGCGGCGAAACAGTTCGTGGACACGAGCAGTAGTGAGAAAGTAAACGTGGAAGTCCTGAGGAAGGTCCACTCCAAGGTGCATGCACAGACGAGGGTGCAGGTGATGGCAGCGTTGGGCAGCAGATCAAGGGCAACAAGGGATGCAAATAGCGTGATCAACGGACGCGAGAGCAGTGACGAGCATAGCGAGAGGTTGAGCAAGGGGAAGCAGCATGGACGGCGCTACAGAAAGAGCAAGCAGGGAGGATCGAAGCGTTGTTTTAGTTCCAGTGAGGGCAGACTTGGTTGGTCTGTGTGTTGGAGATCTCTCTGCTCCTCCAACTGGTACCACTCGATGATGAAGAAATGCATCCGAAACGTCAGTGGCCGTTTCGGACCCGACAGCCGCACACGAGAGTCGCAATTGGTAAAAGTCAGAGACCACCGCAAAACCCATACTGAATGTCGCAGCCTCAAGATGAATAGTACATTTCAAGGCCGGTCCTTGATATAGCAGTCCGGGACACCGAATCCATCATCAGACTCTGAGAGTGGAACCTTCATCAGAAAGAGTCAGATGTTCCCCGGTTGCCTGATTGTACAAATCCTACAGCCATGCTCGTGAGGAAAAACAAAAAAATTAAAGAAAAAAATATGGAAAATAACTTTAAATAAGAAAAAAGGAAGGAACGGGAAAAGCCGAAAGCAGGCGCAAGTAAGAAAGCGGAAACGTTCGTATGTCATTTTCACACGCTCGCACACTGGAGGCAATGTATTGCCCTGTCTTATCAAAAGTGCCTGTACTTATTCACCTCACCCTTAACCCTCCTGTCAGGGGGGGGCGAGTTCGCCACCGAATGCGTTACTCCGCGAGCCTGAATATATCCATATTCATCGGCCAAAAAAGCAGATCCATGGGTCAGGTAGATAAAAGGAACCAGAAAAACGGAAAAGACAAAAGAAAGAAAAAGGAAGACAAAAAAACAAAGATGAAAAATGAAGAACAAGGTGAAAGGGAAAAAAAAAAGAAAAAAAGGAAGAAAAGAGAAGAGAAACGAATGACAAATGAAAATCCGAAAGACGACGGCACAGTTAGCTTCTACTACAGGCAGCGTACCTACCCAATCGGGATCCAAACAGGGGGCCATAACCCATTACCTGAATGCTAAACATGGGAGTCCATCTTCCTCCAAGGAAAACGTCCCATATTCACACTCTCTGTCTGCACGCCCGCGCAAGTGTGTGTGTGTGTGTGTGTGGATATGGGTGGTGTGTGAGTGCGCCTGTGAGTGCGTGAGTGTGTGTATGTGTGTGTACGTGTGTGTGTGTGTGTGTGTGTGTGTGTGTGTGTGTGTGTGTGTGTGAGAGAGAGAGAGAGAGAGAGAGAGAGAGAGAGAGNGAGAGAGAGAGAGAGAGAGAGAGAGAGAGAGAGAGAGAGAGAGAGAGAGAGAGAGAGAGAGAGAGAGAGAGAGAGAGGAGAGAGATGCATTGCAACCGCAGCCTTGTCTTTTGGGATTGCAGGTGTTTAGATGGATAGAAAATGTAAATGTGAAGAGCAGCCTCATCTATCTGCTTGACAAAATACACTTCAGAAGTTGAGATGAAGTTCGATCTCACAATCTGTGGATACACAATTTGGTCTATTTGTTACACAATTTATATCACTTATCCCCTACGGATAGGGTAAAAGTGAAACGGAGATAGGATCGGTTTGTAAAACTGTTGCTGATCTTAATATACACAGTGGCATGTGGTAACTGCTCCCTAGCATATCAGAGGCGCATGGAGTTCATCTGTTTCCAGATTAGAAAAGACATCCAGGCATCGAATGCGGCGTATCGGATCTGTCTCTCACTTAGTACTTCACTGTCCCACATCGACATGGTAACATTCCTCGGTTTCATGAGCGTATAGCTGAGAACCCTTTCTCCAAGCCCTTTCAAACCTGCGCCAGTCAAGCTACGGTCATTGTAAAGCCGTGCTGCGAGCACGCCCAGTTCCACCACGGCACCCCGACAAACGTAACCATGATCTTCTTCTAGCTTCTTCATATCACGCTTTACACCGACACCCACGAAGGTGGAATGCGGAGAAAGGAGGAGTTGTCTTAGAGCTGCTGATTCTCCTCCGACCATGTGAATGAGCTGCACAATCAAGCAACGGTTCTCGCAAGCTAGCTGCAGAGTCGCCACAGGATTATCTTCACCAGACTGAAAGTTGGGCCGCCATTCCACGTCAAAACCAAGAGTAACCGGACGTGCAGTTGTCCGAGACAGGGAATTGATCCAATGGTCGACAGAATGCGCCTCGTTCGTTATGGTGACATCGAGTGTTTCCGACACTGATGGAGAGTCCAAGGAAATCGTTGTAGTTACGGTCCTCTCCCGACTAACAGGGCCACTTCTCACCCACTCCGCCCCGCTCACTGCTGGCCCTCCATAAATTCTCCCCATTCTCCCTCCGTCAACCCTCTCCGCCCCACTTTGTGCAGGCCCTCCATAAACTCCCCCCCCTCTCTCTGCGATAACCCTCTCCACCCCACTTCCTGCTGGCCCTCCATAAATTCCCCCCACTCTCCCTCCAGTAACCCTTGCTGCCCCACTTCCTGCTGGCCCTCCATATCCATACCCTTGTCCATTATCAGCTGGTGAAGGGGACCACCCTCCTCTCACAGGGTAAGGTACACCGGCTTGAACACTACCAACGCCAGCACCGGCACCCCTTCCTGCTACACTGCTCCTCTCTGCCGGCCCATAACTATGCGGCAATTGTACTGGATCTGTCCATCCGCGACCCCTCCCAGAAGAGTAACCATCAGTGGCTCTTGAACTCGAGTGGCCGTGCCCCACCGATTGCTGTGCACCCGATCTGTTTCCCGTATTTCCTGCAGAAATACCCTCCATTCCACCCCCTCGATAACCCTCCCAAGCCCGTATCTGCCTGTCTTGACCATTGCAGGAATAACCCTCCATCAATCTCCTGAAAATCCTTCCTCTGGTAAACGTCAGAGATCTGACAAGCCTCCTTTGCTACGTCAGGGACTCCTTATTCCTCCACTCGTCCACGTGTAGTTCTTCTGGAGCCCCACCCTTCACCCACGTTTGCAGTTATTTCCAAGCCCCAGCTTCAACCTTCCTCCTACATGTGCTGAATGCCTCTGTCTTGCAGGCATAGACACACCACTCGATGAGCTAAACCACAGCTCTTGCTCTCTGCATCCGCTTCAGACTCGATGCAACTTGCCTTCTTTTCACACACACACACCCCTGGCCGTTTCGCATTGCTTCTCTCTCTCTCTCTCTCTCTCTCTCTCTCTCTCTCTCTCTCTCTCTCTC